TTTTTATACACAACAAAAAATATACAAAGATCGTTCCTACAAGTGGCCATCGAACTCTATAACTCATCTGTACATTTATATTAATACATCTGCACATTTGATTGTTTTTAGTCTTTATTTAATATTTAATTTCACGTATTTTACCCATGACTCTCACCGAACGTGCAATATACCAAACATCATCTCTCGTTACGTACTGTACACATTTTCTTCATATTTCTATTATTTTTATTATACATTGTTTATGTGCACATAAGTGTGCTTATTTTGTAATCCTGGGTGTTTATAGTTATTTTATTTTAGTGTGCTTATTTCTTTCTTTTCGCACTTCTCTGATCTGAATGGTTGCAGCTGTAATACCTGTAATTTCCCTTGTGGATCAATAAAGTATTCTGATTCTGATTAACAGACCCAGTAGACAAGTCTAATGGCCCTTTTCCACTAGCGCCTCTACAGCAGGGGTTCTCAAGACTTTTGGGTCTGGGGACCCCTTACAAGGGCGAAAAAATTCCAGGAACCCCCCTCATAAAACCCATGCTGTTTAAAAGATAATTTATTGTCATTTCAACCCCTAAATGCCATGGGAATAGATATTTTTCTTAAGTTTTGTTTGATTAGTTCATTGTTCTCCATGCATTTTTAAAAATAAAAACCAAATTAAGTGAATTTTTTGAGGACCCCCCAAGTAGGGTTGGGCAATTTTGGTAACAAAATTAATCACGATCAATTGTGGTATTTAGCTGATAACGATTAATTTGACGATTAATCCCCTGGAGTTCCTGGACAGCCTTATTTTGTAGTCACATGATCAGTTTAGTGGGAAAGATTTGCTCTTTGTAAGAAATTGTTCTAAATTGTGTGAAAATGGCAAATTTCAGGTTATACATCATATTTTAAATTGTGTTGATGGATAAATAAATTACAGAACTTTATTTTTAATGTTCGTCACATTTGAAGTGGAGAAGAGCACCAAGCAGACCAACCGGAGTAATCCCAAGTCAGTCTGCCAGGTGGCATTAATCGTATTAATCATCAAGTGGCAAAAAGTAATCGATTAATGTTTTTTTGACGATTAATTGCACACGATATTATTATGCCCAACCCTACCCCCAAGATACCTCTCGCGGACCCCCGGGGGTCCTGGGACTCCAGTTTGAGAACCTCTGCTCCACAGCACGGTTCACCGTGACTCTCCATGGTTCCAAGGCTGTTCCACTAGCAAGGATTCATAGAACCAGACCCTTTTCCAGATCCTTACAGGGACTTCTCTGAGCTAAGGATAGTGTTTGAAAAGCTTCATTTTATTTTTGATTAACAAAAAATGAACATTGTTGGGGGGGTTACATAGTATTACAAGTTTAAGAGTTGATTGTAATTGTGTTGTGATTTGTAAAATTTAATATTCCTTTTCTTTCCAGCTCCCCAGAGTAAGGCCCACGGCAGCTCCTTCGCACATCGGGGTGAGCTGCAGCGTGCCAAGAGGATTGTGGTTAAGCTTGGTAGTGCTGTGGTCACCCGTGGGGATGAGTGCGGTTTGGCTCTGGGGCGGCTGGCTTCCATTGTGGAGCAGGTGGGACTTGAGCTTACTGAAGTAGTTTTTGATCGGTAATTCTCATCCATAGACTTAAATATATAGATCACTAGACTGAGCCCCGCCCATACCGTCCACTGGTAGCGTCTGTGACAGCATGGAGGAGCAGAAATGGCCTCTAAAAGGGCAACAGCTTACAGCCTCCATAGAAACTAATAGATAAACAACAAGCTGAACTGGATCTGTTTCACAGATTATCAGTCATGTTTTTACAATAAATTAATAATTATGTTAATTTCATTCAACAATCATGTAAAACAGCAGATTTGTACCAGAAAATATATATAATTTATAAATAGCAATGATCTAAACCAGTGGTTCCCAAACTTTTTGTCTTCTGACCCACAAAATATCCATGGCAAAACCTTGTGACCCCAAATATTACTGGTCTGAGTACACAAACGCTGTTAATAACCCTAAAAACACAGGATTTTTGACAATCTAAACAGCTTGTACACAAATATAAATACTTATTTTTACTTATTTTGTGTTTTTGTAATAATTATAGAGAAAACATTACATCAGCAATTATTTTATTACCCTTTAAATTGATTTCTGGAGATTATCCAAGGTGCTTCATGACCCATTATTGGGTCCCAAGCCCAACTTTGGGAACCAAAGTGCAATGGTTCCCAAACTTTTCAGCTTTTGACCCACAAAATAACAGTAGCAGAGACCTGTGCCCCCAACTATTTTTGGATGATAAACATTTGTATCAGGTCAACTAAACATGGGCATAGTTACAATATTTTTATACTACATTTATCATTTTAAATATACTAACCTCACTCCTTTATAACAACTAAGGCAAAAATGTAATTAATTCAGAAAATCTTTTCAGGACCCCACCTTGATGTTTTGGGACCCCACTTTGGGTCCCGACCCCAACTTTGGGAAACACTGATCTGAAACAGACCTGAAGTCAGCCTGTAACTTAGACTTTAGCTGGTTGAAAAATGATGACTTCAGCTAGTAATAAAGTATATTTATTATTTCTTCTTACTGTCATAAAAAATAATAATATTTAAATTTACCAGTCAACAGTTAGAAAATCTTCTCTGGTTATAGGATGAAACTTGTCTCTATTAGCTAACCATCTTCTCAACAAGTCAGGTTCCTCTAACAGAAACCTAAAAATACTTACATTTATAATATTATTTTACACTCTGTAGGTCTAAAAATTAATATTTACTAGTTTGTGTTAAATTCTAGCATGATTTAACAGTGCTACACTCTGTATATAAGCTCCACAAGCTAATATCTGCTAACCAGTTCAATAAATAACAGTGATTACATTGACTTTATAAGATTAATTTAATTTTAAACTGTTACATTATGTTCTGCTCAGATCACATTAAACTAAATAAGATCAAATCTGCTGACTTGTGTTGTAAAATGAGATGTTTTCCTGCTTATCTTCTGTTAATAAATCCATAACACAAACAGCTTTTCTGACATTATTTAAAAAAAATTGGATTAATATTATTATTAATAGTTTTAATGATTTCTACATCGTCAGTCCTTTTTTTCTGCTCTGTTGTCAACATGYACAGTAATGGGAAATCCAGACTCTTGCCCGTTTTGCGTTAGCCGTTAGCTTTGCCAGCCGATCACATGGTCACGTGGTTTCTGCGCACTCCAGCTGTTCTATAGACCCTCCTTGTTCTCATCACTTCTGGTAATCAGTTGAAAATACAAGTTTCACAACATACTTATTGTCTAATAACACACATTTCTGGAGGTGATTTATAGATTAGCTCACAAATATTTAACTGTACTTTTTGTATTCCGTTTTAAATTCAAGTAGTTGTGTTGTTGTCCAGGTGGCAATGCTGCAGAGTCAAGGCAGGGAGATGCTGATCGTCACCAGTGGAGCCGTGGCCTTCGGTAAACAGAGATTAAAACATGAGATCCTGCTGTCCCAGAGCGTCCGACAGGCACTGCATTCTGGAAACACTCAACTCAAAGACATGGTAAGGACCTGCTAAGCTTCAAACATCATTCAGCCGAATGAAATTAGCCCAGTACATTTAACAACAGTGAACAGAATTTTTTGAATCCATGTTAACTCAATACTTTAGTCAAGAGTTTGTTTATAAATACAACACAGTTCACTATAAATGTTTTAACACACTTAAATTTAACCAGGATAGTAAGTTTTGATCTAATGTGTTTTCGACATATATTGTTTGTGTTGCAGTCTGTGCCGGTTCTGGAGGCCCGAGCCTGTGCTGCAGCAGGACAGAGTGGCCTGATGGCCCTGTATGAGGCCATGTTCTCCCAGTACAGCACGTGCACTGCTCAGGTACTTGTACAACTCGCAGGAAAAACGCCCAACTTGGAAAGCCTTCGTTTGCGGTTAGCTTCAACTTTTCCTCCTCTCACTTCCAGTTTTGACTCAGTTCTCTGCTTCCCTCTGTGTTGTCAGGTCCTGGTGACAAATCTGGATTTCCATGATGATGAGAAGAGGCAGAATCTCAACAGCACGCTGCAGGAGCTGCTGCGCATGAACATCGTCCCCATCATCAACACCAACGATGCTGTGGTACCCCCGCCAGAACCCGACAGCGACCTGCAGGGGGTAAATGTGGGTACAGGCAGCATGGGTGCGACGCTGGCAGTGGCAGCAGGGGAGCTGAGAGTCTTGGCGGAGGCTGTTTTTGTACAATGCGTGCGCCATTCATTAACTACAACATTTTCTGTCAGCCGCATACATTCTGAATCGCATCTGCCTCAGTTCTTCAGTTCTGCCTTTATTCATTAAACATGTGCATGCAGAGAGGGGATGGATGGATGCAGAGAGGGGATGGATGGATGCAGAGAGGGGATGGATGGCTGCACCAACATCTTTTTCCTAGATATTTAAAATCACTGCTGGTGATCACTGATATGTCACAAGCTTCACGTTCAGTTTAATTTATTTGCATGTACAAATAATGGCACACAAAAGAAAAAAAGAACAAAAACAAGATGTGTTGGAGAGGTCAAAAGCAGCCCCTCCCCTCCAAGAAAATAAAATAAAAAATAAATWAATTAATTAATTAAGTACAACAAAATGAAAAATATAAGCTTATTAAAACATAAATGCACAAACACTCACACAAACCAATATAAACATAATTGAGAAAAAATACTTTGTTTAAACACTTTTTAAATGTCGAACATGCATCACTTAGAAGACAAGTCAAACTCGAGGCCTGCGGGCTAAATGAGGCCTCCACTGCATTTTATGTGGCCCTAGAGAACTAGAATCAAATTGCCTTTAAAATAAGCGTATGACTCTTTAAAGCTAGAAATGACCCTGAACTACATCTACCATAATGCCGTGTTGATTATTTCACCTGACAAATTACAACATCCAGCCACTAGGTGGCGCTGTACAAGGTTCAAAAGTAGCCGGCAGCCAGCCGTGTAAAATCTACATTTAGCTGCATTTTTGCCAGCTACGTTTGCTGCAGCTTTGTTATACTGTGAATTGGGAACTTCCCACTTGCACGCCCCTCCAGTGGGAATTTCCTGTCAGAAAGTGGGAGAGTTCAGAGTTCAAGATGGCTGCTACTTACCACAGCTCAACAGTGAGTACAACTCTTTTGGTAAAAATGAGTTATGTGAATAATATTTTAAATCATTCCACAGCACAACTCTGTGAATGGGTAGTAAAATGTCACATTGTCCTGTGGAAAAATACTTTTGCAAACTGGAAAAAAAAAAACCTTCTGCAAAGAACATGGAATTACTATATTATAAAAGTCTAATGGTTTTTAAAAATATTAAAATAATTTTAGTAAAGTTCAGCTTTTTCAACTTTTATGTCAAATGAATATTTTGAAAATGTCAATATATTCGTTATGGTCAAGTTTTGTGCAGTTATTTCCTCAAMAAGTTTGGGTTTCATTTTGTTTTTTAGGTGATCAGTATAAAGGACAATGACAGCCTGGCAGCACGCCTGGCTGTAGAGATGAAGGCCAAYCTGCTCATCGCTCTGTCTGATGTGGAAGGTAAAAGCAGAACCACTACAGTAGTTTAGGTTAGATATCAGATATTGGTTGTTACTTTCCCTAGTAGAATGATAGAAAAACCTACAGGAACAATCAAACCTTAGTTTGTATTTCAAGTGACTAATGGGGCAAATTTATTATGGAGGGCAACGTTAACGCTTGGCAGCACATCAGAAATACTGCTGACAGGAGTGTGAAGTTCTGCAAGTGAGATTTCAACACTTTTTGGATCTGCAAACACAGACAGAACCAGCTCATTTCAGTAACAATTAAACAATCAGGACCTGTTCAAATCGTGCCCAAAGCTTCAAACAGCCATACTCCTGTAATCAGGAGTCTGTAATCTACCAACAACACAAGCTTTAGGTCTGTGTAGGTCTTTAGTCTTAGGACACGGACATTCCTACAAGTTTGAGAAAGTCTGTTGGATGAGAAATGGAGTTCTGGAAGTCTAAAGTAGTCTTTCATGAACTTTTAGGCTATCATAGACCCTACTGCCCTGTCCTTGTTGGGTGTTATAAATAAGCGAGTTTCAATTTTAATGCACTTTTTACCAGTTAAACACAAATTTGTTGTTGATTAGGGTTTTTACTTGGTACTTATAGCTCAGTAGTGTGAGTATTTCTCCCTGAAACTTGTTCACTTTTTGCAAAGAAACCAAAAAATAAAAAAATAAAATAAAAAAGGAAAACCTCCTGTAAAGGGTGTTTGTGATGACGTTGCATCAGAGGTTTTTGTTGCCTGATTTAATTATGTTTTTGCAAATACTTGTATGTATGGATTGTTTATTTTATAGGGCTTTACAACAGCCCTCCTGGAACAGACGATGCAAAGCTCGTTGACATCTTCTACCCCGGAGACCAGCAGTCCATCACCTACGGCACAAAGTCCAGAGTTGGGATTGGAGGCATGGAAGCCAAGGTTTGTTTAAGGCTCATTCACTGAGGAAAAATCCATCAGCTGAGCAAACAGAAAAAAAATTATGTTGTATAGTTAAACAGGGAAATGAGGACAGTAAAAGCAAACCTGGACCATTTTCTTTGTCATTTAAGATCAAGTAATGGCTATCATTACATTCCAACTCCCTACTGTTAAAGCAAAATAGTCTTGAAGGTTATAATCTTAAATTTTGGGGAAGTTGAAGATACTTTTTGAGAAAAAATGTTAAGGTATGGTTCAAAATATTTTTGTTTCAGGTCAAGGCAGCTCTTTGGGCCTTGCGGGGTGGCACCTCTGTGGTCATAGCTAATGGCACTAACCCCAAAGTGACAGGTCACGTCATCACTGATATAGTGGAGGGCAAGAAAGTGGGAACCTTTTTTTCTGAAATAAAACCTGCAGGTGTGTATATCCCAAAATCAGCTGCATGTCTTTTCTTTTTTCTCCCTTTACGTTTTGCTGTCTTGTTAAAGCTGTTTTGTTTTGTTTTGTCCCCGACTCTGTTTTAGGCCCATCTGTGGAGGAGCAGGCAGAAATGGCCCGAAACTCTGGAAGAACCCTGGCATCTCTACATCCAGACCAGGTGACACCTCGGATTTAGATCAGGGCATGTCATCTTAGTGTTTTTGAGAGCTGCAGCTTAAATCTTTTTTTTTTTTTTTGTAGGCTCTAAGCATTCATAATTTATGTTATGTGCATCCGTTCTGCTGCAGAGAAACTTTAGCAGACAGATCTGCTTTATGCTGAGTCTGCATGTGTTTGCTTGTCTGTGTTGTCAGAGAAGTGAGATCGTTTGCCACCTAGCAGAGATGTTGACTGAGAGGAAGGAAGAAATTCTGGCTGCAAACAAGATGGACATGGAGGTAGCTGTCAGTGCAGGTAACAGGAACCAACATTTTCCAGGTTTAGAAAAAAACTAAGCAGGCAGAACTCCCCGCTAAGGCAAACTTTCCTGCAAAGTTTTATTTTTTGTACTGCCATATTTAATTTTAAACGSATGTATTTTTAGATATTCAGAAATATTGGTTAATGTCAGTTTAACAAGATACATTGACATGTTTTTATTAGCCCATTGATTTTGTTTTTGGCTACATCATAAACTAATGAGACAAATTTAAAAGGTAATCTTGTACAAGCCTCAGTCTTCAAAACATGACTTTCCTCCTCATTTATGCACTCACTAGATCTAAATGTCCAATTATTTTTAGGTCATTTGCCCTCAGCCATGCTGAAGCGTCTGAGCCTAACGTCAGCCAAACTTAACAGTTTGGCTGTAGGCCTGCGTCAGGTAGCTGTGGCAGCCCAGGACAGCGTCGGTCGAGTTCTGCGAAGGACCAGGGTGGCGCATGGTCTAGAACTAGAGCAGATTACTGTACCCATTGGGGTTTTTCTGGTCATCTTTGAGGCCAGACCCGACTGTTTGCCACAGGTAACATGATGGAAAAATAATCCTTTTAACTTTTCGGAGGGGTTTTATGCAAATTTATTATTATTTTTTAGCTTTATATCACATTATAAAGTCATTCCCTCATCAAAAACATACCTAGAGTGTTGCTTTGACTCGTTCACACATGTTTGAGAAATTCAYGAATCTCCTGTGAAAGCCATGTGGAGCTGGCTAAACACTTGATGGTACAAAGCTCCACCTATTTACACAAAGCTCCTCCCTGGAGTTCAGTCCATAGCTGAGCTCCCGCCCCACAGAGCACCCCTCCACCCAAGTATTGTTGTGAAAACGTGCTGAAGTGGGAGTGTCCGGAGTTGTAGAAGGTTCTTAAAGAGACAGAGGCCATTTCAAGGCAAAGTACATTTGATATTTGCAGCTTTTTCATAACAAAAGGTAACATAGTAACTTGAACGTTATGTTACTGATAAAATAAAGACATTCCTTGAAAGAATGTTTCATCTCCGCTGCAAGYTTAATTAAAATCCATCCATTTGTTCATGAGATGTTTTGTGAACAGACATGCACACTTGCACAAATATGTAAATGAAAACGCTGGTAAAATTAATACAGTTGGCATATTTTTTATTATATGAATTTTTAATTAATGCAATTTTTGTSTAAAAYAAGCATGTTTAACTTTTTACAATACTTCATTTGTCACTCGTTCCATCTTTGCGTTTGTTCATAAAGTTGTCAGCCCTAGCCATTGCCAGTGGGAATGCTCTTCTGTTGAAAGGTGGCAAAGAGGCTGCCAACACCAACAGTGTCCTGCACCGTCTGATTCAGGAAGCCCTCTTTGTGCATGGAGTCCAAGAGGCTGTACAGATGGTAAAATTACTCTCCTATACATCTAATAAAAGCCTATTCAAACTGTAATTACCCATTAGAGAAGAGGTCTTCAACCCTGATCCTTGTGACCCTTTATGTTTTAGTTGTTTCTGTGCTTCAGCACACCTGACTGATATGAATGGGTGACAGCCTTCTGCTAAACTTGGCATTCTGAGTAGGTCTGATTATTTGAATCAGGGGCACTGGAGCAAGGACACAGCGAAAACCTGCAGGACAGTGAGTCACAAGGATCAGGGTTGAAGACTTCTGCATTTGAGGATATTTTAAGCAAAAGGATGAAGTCTATAAAATTGCCTCACATCATTTAAACTGAAATCAATTTTACTGGGCCTGTCTTGTGCGTGTGTATTTCTAAATAAGACATAAAAACACGTTTATTGGATGTACTCCTCTTGAGGTGAGCACCCGTGAGGAGGTGGCGGATCTTTGTCGACTGGACAAGATGATTGACTTGATTATCCCCAGAGGTTCGTCCCAGCTTGTGCGAGACATTCAGCGAGCAGCCAAGGGCATCCCGGTGTTGGGTCACAGTGAGGGGATCTGCCATGTCTACGTCGACGCAGACGCCAGCATCGACAAAGTCCTAAAGATCGGTCAGTAGATAGAGCTTTAAAATTATTGTGCATCATTCCTCTGTAAATGGATCCTTAAGTGAAATTAAACACTCAGTCGTTAAATCTTGTTTTTTTTAATTTGTTTTTCTGAGGAGACAGTCCAAGATGAAGCCCATTCTGTTCAAAACTAAGTTTTAAAACATCCAGGCTTGACAACGAATGCACAGTTAGTGCATTCATAGTTTCACAATGTTCTCCAAGTTCAGCTCATAAGCTGTTTTTGATGTTTCCAAACTTATGACTTAAACTCAGGTGATAGATCCTTCTCAGATTCAGGTCCTTAATTGTGGAATGACCTGTCAGTAAATGCCAGATACTGTCCCTCACCTTGTTTAAAAACACACTATGGCTATGTTCACACTGCAAGCAAATGCAACCTAAATCCCATTTTTTAATGACAGTCTGAACGCAACAAATCCCATTTTATTGAAATCTGACCCAGGCCTTTTCAGTATGTGGCACTAAATCGGATACATATCTGATGTTTTCCAGTGTGACTGCAGTCTGAACGGTCATGCCGCATTCAGGTGAAGAGGGTCTTTTTACTTTTAATTTTCCATGTAGATAGTATGATAGTAACGTCCAGCCTCGGTCGCGGAGCAAATCAGTCCTAAATTTACTCGGTCGATACTTTATTTCCAGCTCATTGCTTCATTCCAAAATTAAAATGCTGCACAGGAGCATCCCAGTCAGATGCAGGTTCAGATATAAACTCCGAACTAAACAATCATGTCAGATAATTATTTAATCGCCTCTGATTGAACAACTTAGATTCGACGTGCTAAAAGTAGCATCCATGCTAACTCTGTAAACAAACAAAGAGCTGAATGAGACACCACGTCTTTTTCTTCACATGCGGGTCACATCAGTGCTGTGTAGGGTTCACACTGGAGTCTGATGGAGGTCGCATTCAAAATATAATGTGAACGTTCACACCAAAAATTCAGATTTAAAAAAAAAAATCAGGATTGATCATTAAGACCTGCAGTGTGAATGTAGCCTATAATTTGTTTGCCTGTAACTGAGTGAGTTGGTTCAAAAACCTCACTGTGTTTTATAGCTCTGATCTCTTTGCTGTCATCCAAAATGTTTTTGTATTTTTAAACTTATGTAACATACTTTATGTCCTTGATGTATCTGTTTTATTGTGCAGAACTTATATTAGCCTTGTGCTGTTTTAAGTGCTTTTTAAATTATAGTGGTATGTTGCACTAGTAAAGACAAATATTGGCAAAATATTAATGATGTACTGAGAGTTTCTGCTTTATCTTTTTAGTCAGAGACTCCAAGTGTGACTACCCAGCTGCATGTAATTCCATGGAAACTCTGCTGATTCACAGGAGCATCCTTAGGACGCCTCTGTTTGACCAGATAATTGATATGCTGCGCAACGAACGGGTAAAAAAAAAGAAAGAAACAAATGCACACACAGTCACATGAAGCATTTCTTATTTTCAGCAAAGAATCTTAGTTATATTTGAGCCAGCCTCAAGTGGTTATTCAAGGAACTGCATCTCTTCTGTTTTTGCTTCATTCTTTCATGAGCAGCTGAAATTCTACTTGATTCTAAGCAAAGATTTAAACTAAGAATTTTACTTTTTATTTACGTAGTCACACCTTAAAAATGCTCCTTTTTTGTGTTGTTGCTAGGTAAAGATTCATGCAGGTCCTCAGTTAATTTCTTACCTGACGTTCAGTCCATCGGAGGTCACATCCCTGCGCACAGAGTACGGTGACCTGCAGTGCTGTCTGGAGGTGGTGGACAGCATGCAGGAAGCTGTGGATCATATACACAAATATGGCAGCTCCCACACAGATGTTATCATCACAGAAAATAGTAAGTGGCTATTTTTTTTACCTCTTGTTTTTGTTGTTACTGTTGTTTTATCCTCAAATTGTCTAACTTACAAAATATATTCTATGATTTGAGACATATTTAAGGCACCATGACTAAAGCAACATCTGTACGCTGTTAATGTTTTAATGCAGGTGGAACACATTATTCAAACTGTCCTCCTGTCTAATGATTTAACACCTTCCATCTCACTCTCTGCCACGGCAGCTAATAATCAGTGACACTTTGTTGTCAGTGTGAGTTCACACCCTCCCTCTGTGACGCCAGTGTGGTGGACAGAGTCGGTTTTAAATGCAGAGCAGATGATTGTCAGTTTAACAGACTTGTCCCTGAAAAATACTGAGTTGTAGCTGTCAAATTACATCTTCTCAACTCATTTTGATAAAAACTGCTCATGAAGTAGGCATAGAGGGTTATGTGACCTGAAGGTTGAGTTGCTAAAAGAGACACTGTTAAAAAAAACATTTTTATATAAGTTATATTTTATGGTAATATCTTGATCTTAACGGAAAATGTGTAATTATATGGTGCTGTATTTGTTTTAAGTAAATCTTGTGCATACTAATGAGGAAATTGTGACTTACTTTAATTTTAATAGATCAAATCAGCAAGTATTGTCAGAATCAGAATGTATTTACTGTCAACGTAACAAGTACAACAAAATGAGGTATTCCTTTATGGTGTCAGGATATAAAGAGGATAATAAAAGAAAGGGGTCAAAAAAGTCTTTAAACTTAAATAAGGGAAGAGTCATACAAAACAGCCCACTTTTTTGCACATTAATAATATGATTACTACACTGATTATTAAACATGGGTTGTTTCTCGTTCCACGTTGGTTTTTTATTATTTTATTTAAATTTTTTTTGTATTTAACACTTATTTTTTGTTTATTATTTACATTTAATTTATTATTAAATATTGTTATTTATAAGTTAACACTTTGTAATTTACACTAATTTGGGACAGAATTTGCTTTTCCTACCCAGAGGATCAGCTCAACACTGGATCAGGACGTATTTAACACTTATTTTTTGTTTATTATTTACATTTAATTTATTATTAAATATTGTTATTTATAAGTTAACATTTTGTAATTTACACTAATTTGGGACAGAATTTGCTTTTCCTACCCAGAGGATCAGCTCAACACTGGATCAGGACATATTATTGCCATCTAGTGGGCACAAAAGGTACCTCTATTAAATTAAACTACATGTCGGGAGTAGAGGCATACAAACCATTTATACACCGGAGGGAGAAAGACACTAAGCTAGTGACAAATGCTCCATCTAAAAGGTTCGATTAAGAAAATAAAAATAATTTAAGTTATAAATCAGACTGGCAGTTAGTTGAGTAAGGAGTAAATGTATTAAAATTAAGAGACAAACAGCCATGAATTCTTACATTGCAGCCATTTTTTAATGTATTTATTTTGTTATGACAACTGTAAGGCTCTCTTTATGCTGTCCACATTGTTCTGAGAGTTTTTTTTCTTCATATAATTTAGGAACTATAAAAAGTTTTTAGCAAAGGTACAGTTCTTATTTAAGTAGATGCAGCTGGGTCTACATTGCAGATACGCTGTTAATTGGATTTATGCATTGAAAATTCTGTCAGTGTAAATGGGTTGTAGTGAACAGAAGAACAATGTTAACGTTAGCAAGTAGCACTGGTAATTATTTGTTCTCTTCCAGAGGAGACAGCTGAGCAGTTCCTGCAGCAGCTGGACAGCGCCTGTGTTTTCTGGAACGCTAGTTCACGATTTGCTGATGGCTATCGGTTTGGACTCGGTTGGTTCCTTCCATGTTTTTATTCCCTCTTTTTTGTCTGAAGTCTTCTGAAGAATCTGCTTATTCTGAACAGAAATTATTTTAATGATTTAAAACTTTCACTATCAGTTTGTCACCGAGACTATATTTTATTTTATTTTTAACTGAATTTATGGCACAGTTTAACATGTGGGATAATACTTGTATTGAAAGAGTGATTTCCAGGGTTGTTAGCTGAAAATTTGAGTGGATTCTGCACATGATTGTGGCTCAAGACTTTTGCACAGCACTGTTTATTATGATATAGGTCCTCTGTGTGAATATTAATGGGAATCACAAACATTTTAGAGCATTTTCAGAATTAAATTAAGATTTAAAAGCACAAATCAATATTTATATTTTGTTCACTGCTGTTCTCTTGATCTACAGGAGCAGAGGTCGGTATCAGCACAGCCCGTATCCATGTCCGGGGCCCAGTAGGCCTCGAGGGGCTGCTCACTACCAAGTGGGTCCTGAGAGGCGACGGGCACACAGCAGCTGATTTCTCTGAGCACGGCGATATGAAGTACGTCCATGAAAACCTGCCAGTGGGTCAAACTTTAGCTGAACAGAGAAACAGCAGCTAGACCAGAGAGTCTGATGGCTTTCAGAAGTTGAGACCACGATGTCACTATTTAAATCTCTTAAACTTTGATTTATTATACCAGCACAATCAGACAGATGTTCCCTGTTGGCTTATTGTCTTGTTAAAGTAGGGTTAGCTTTTTTAGCTGTTCTCAATTAACGTCAGTGGTTCATATCAAAGTGAACTTCATAGATACAAATGTTAAATACTTATTTCAGGTCATTTTGATGATAATTGCCTAAAGCTAATGAAAACACAAAATGCAGTTTCTCAGAAAATCAGAGTATTATAAACGGTCATAAGTTACGATATCTGGTTTAATGACCATGATGCTCGATTGGTCAGAAAACTCACCTGACCTGAACCCACCAGAGAATCTTCAGGGTAGAGTCAGGAGGAAGATGAGACACCAAACCCAACAATGCTGAGCTGGAGGATGCTATTAAAACAACCTGAACTTCTATAACCTTTCAGCCTTATATGGTTATGGTAGAATTATCGATGCAGTGTCAGCAAAAGGAGCCCAGACCAAATATTTATACTATACAGTACATGGACAGTCTTTTCAGCTGACCAACATTTCTTGATTTCAGAATCATTTTTGGTCAACTTATTTGACAGTTTAATTATCTGTGAGCCCAAATCATCCAAATTAACAGGAAAAAAAACATCTGAATTCATCACTTTGTAAAACTAAGCTAAATATTTAGTTTTTTAAAAATATTCAAATTTTCTGAGAGGCACCTGTACTTTTACAACAATGAATGAATAAGAAAAAAATCTACCTTTTAATGTTAAACTAAAAACACATCTATCAAAAAAGTAAACTATTTTGATGAATCATGACCTAATTTTGGAAATGAATTTTAATTCCAATGAATGTCTTTATTTTGGGAAAAATATTCCACAACTGGCAGTATTTTGCTTATGAGCATGTTTTAAATTTCATTTGCAACATGTATATTTATTTTTGCAGTCTTCACAGACTCCAAACAAGAACTCTTTATAAATAATAATTAAACTCTGACACTCGAATACTACTTGAATGATTGAAAATGATGAAAATTATTTAATAAATACACATTCAAAAAACAAATGTTTGCAATTTCTTAAGCGAAAACCTGAGATTCGATTAAGAATGCTGTGTTGCAACGTTAAAAACTGTACAAAAAATGTGATTATTGTGTAGTAATTTTAAGGTAAATGCACGTTTTTTTTTGCATCCTTTATTTTTATTTAACGTGTTTAGTTATAGTTACAAGACATGCTCGTTTTTCCGCACATTTTTGCCCTCCTGCTCGTTCCTCGTAGCGCCTCCAACCTCTGTCAGAGTGGGAATAGTAATTGACAAGCCTTCTCTTTAAAGCTCGAGGGGTGAATGAGGAGCCTTTTAAAACGAAGCTCTGTAACACTCCAGCTTTCTGCGCTGCTTTTAGATGTCTTGAGATGCAACATTTAAGGTTTGGGTTATTTAATGGCAGTAATGTAGAATAAAAAAAAAAAAGAAAAAGTTGAGAAAGAATATTTGGATTCTTTTTTCTTTCCTCTCTTTGATTTCCCTTTTTCTCGCTGTTGAATTGTTGAGGATTTTTAACATGTATGCTCATCTCTGTCCTGGCTCTAGTCTTTCTACTTTCACACACAGAAAAACACAAATTAATGTGGGGTGTGGGGAGAGAAGAAGTCATACTGATCTAAAAAACAGATGTCTAAAAGGGGCCTTTTTAAAGTTGCCCATAGGGAAATTTGCGTTGCTGGAAGTGGGGCAGAGAAGATGGAAGACAATACTATAGAGGTTTAATTATCCAGCCATCAGAACTGAAGAGAGATGAGGAGAACTGGGACTAATAATGGAATCACAGACTTCTGTTCTGGGTTTTTCTTTCTCTTTCTTTCAAAATTTCTCTCTTTTCTATCATCTAAAGAATTCATTTTCCAAAACGCACTACTTACCCTTCAATCAGCTTCCCATCACAAGTCCAAAGACTTCCAAGATGAAGAAGGAAAGAAAACTTGGATCTCACTCTTTTGTCCTTGTTTTTTTTTTAATCTGTGAAACGATTGAAAATATCATCTAAATGACTTGAAGAAGAGAAGGAACAATCCAGGGACAATGAGTATTGTCTCTTTGTTGCATGCTGTTTTTTATAGAATATATCAGGTTGTGCTTCAGATTTTTCTACAGCTGCTGTAGACGTGGTCGTGTGTACACCTGGTTGTGCTTTGTTGTACAATGAAAGACTTCCTTGGGATATTCCTGAATTTCATTTTTAATATCAGCTTTATGACTCGAAAAACATCTGGTTTGAGGGCAAGTGTAAAAAACAGGTGTTTTTATGAAATAAAACTAATTATTTCAAACTTAAAACTTTATTTTAGTTTTGTTTGTCATTTAAACCCAGCTTTTGTAAAAAAAATTTGATATTTGCCTTTATTGTTTTGCAGTGATAAACTTTAAAAAAGGCTTCTTAAATGTGAAAATGCCTTATTTTTATTTTATATAATACACCACCACTTCTTATAGCCTTAAAATAATTTCCAGTTCCAAGGCCAGACTCTCATCTCTCACCATCTGCGCCCCCAGAACCCAGCACATCCGTTCCCCTGCTGCACCCTGTTGATGTTGTGTTGTCCACTGGGCATTGTTGTCCACAGCAAATCACTGAACTTGTGCAGCAAAGCCGACAATCCTTTAATTGAACATTACTCAAGGCCAAAACTCATGTAACTTGTTCTGCTTGATCTTAAGATTCTCGAACGCTCTCCCTGCTGGGCTTCAAATTTTTTTAAATCAATAATTAATGGTCAAAGTTATTTATTCATGCGTATCTTCTCCAATTATGCGGCGTCTAATTAACAATTTCAATAATTGATATTTATTTCTGAAAGGGCTCGTGTCTTGGTCTGATGAAAAATGCATGAGCAGGGATGTGGACTGGGTTTTTGTGTTTTTTGTTCTGAGAGAGCTTGGTGCTTGGGGCTAATATCAGGCCACTTTGACTCCAGCTCTTTGAGTTGGCACTGGTCCTGTGATGTTGATCTAATATGGGCATCTTTCATGGACCCAAAGCGCTTACTCTGTACCATGTGATCTCATAAAGACTCCAACATATCTGTTCTCAGATACTGGTTTTTTTATGGTGTTTGGCTTTAATAAGCTTCTGTTTCCTTGATAAGTTTCTTTGTAGATTGACGAGATCATATAAAACTCAGTCATTTAGCCTTTTTGTCTTTGAAAAACACTGAAAGTTCAGTCACCATATTAAAATGTTTAGTAGTTTTTTTTTTCAAGAAAGATTCTGTGATTAGGAAACAATATCTTACCTGTTGTAGACAGCTCTTTGACTGACCTCAGTTTGGAGAAATAGGTTGAATCTGACAGATTGAGTTTATTGTCTATAAAGGGCCCAGAGATTAAAGCAGATTACTGCCATCTAAAAACTTCAGTCTTAAAGATTTTATAGCAGTTCATGCAAAAGCTTGTATTTTTTTGACTTTGAACAAGTGTCAGTTATGCATTAAGTGGTTATTTAGTTATTTGCAAGTGCAAACAGCTATCTGTAGTGCTGCTTGTGAAACATGCAAGAACATCATAATTCTGCATTTCAGTTTTGCAATATCATGTAATCTTTACTGTGCACCATATTTGTGTATAATATGAGAAAATCAACCCCAAAAATCATTCATAAAGTGTGTGTGTGTGTGTGTGTGTGTGTGTGTAGGTGATAGGGTTGGGGTAGAAGTATAGAAGTATACATGGGAGTACATTTTACTAACTTTTTAAATGTACAACCACAATAGGTTTCAATATTTCCTTGTATATTACTGAAATATTCCCTGTCTTTCCCGTCGTAAGTCACACATAGCAAGGCTTATAAACCCTATGGTTTACTCACCAGGGTCAGAGGAGAAAAAAAAGTGTTTTCTTTTGCTTGTTAACCGTGGCAATGTAAAAAGACTTGGACTTTAGTTGTTTGGGCTGATAAATCCATCTTTCCAATTAACAACCGGCTTCTGCTCTCGTCTGGGAGTGGATTGTTTTTTGTTTTTAGTGACACACCAAACCAGAAACTTCTGCTGCGCCTCCTCTGCAGCTCTGCAGGAAAACACGTGTGTCTCCCTTTATCGGCACCAGAGGGCGCACCGCAAGGCTAAAAACTCATTACGTCAGAAATGAGTGCTCATAACAGGATGATTAGACTTTTCATGCTTTTTAAGCTAAAAAATGATGATCATATACTCGATCATATTATACATGAATAAATATGGTAATAATTAGTATGGAAGGCAAATTTATTAGCATATAAAAATGTATCAAAATGTGTTGTCGTGAACCATCATACAACTTTTGGTTTTTGAGGTTTAGATTGTCAGTAATTCATTTTAGTGTTGAGCTAAGTTTGCATGCACAAAATTCTTTGATTGAAATGTGTTTGGAAGGAATAATCCAAATGTATTGGTTATAAGGGCACAAAATGAATTTACATGTGTTTACATGCACCAGGCTTTTATTCAGAATAGAAGCACTGACGTATGCAGGGTTGTGAACGTTCCCTAAAACAAACAGAAGAAGTTCTACTTCTGTGATGAACATAAACAAAAGTGTCTTCTGAGCACCCAGAATGGACCCTCACCAGGTTTTAATAACCTTGGAGACTTTATTGCACTCCATGTTCCTACACTTTCAACCATCAAGGTGTTTGATAATTTTGAGCTCTTTCAAAGTTTCTAATAAAAATGTTGTATCGCTAAACGACCAATTTAACTTCCCGGACMTATTAGSATCTAGTCAGCTGGATRYGTCAGGTTGACATAGGGCTCACAGTCAGGTCAGTTTTCCACAACCAGAATAAATCTCGACATGAAACCACATAAATCACCCCTCTCCTTTGGATTACAAACTCATTCCGATTGAGCTAAATCAGATTAGAATTTCCGACTGGTACATTTACATGATGCATTTTTAATCTGATTGGCTGTTTATTTCGATTATGTCCGTGTTAACATAGCTTTGGTCTTATTCAGCTTAACTGTTTTAAATTTTATCAAAGTTATTATGTTTTCTAACTATTAAGTCATCTGCAGCAGGTAAGATGTTAATTGTGCATATCTTTCTACAGAACCATGATGAAACATATGCTCCTTTGTTACAGCTGCTAGTCAACAATAAATCACCCTCTTTACAAGACTTTTATCAAGTTTTAATTTATTGTGATTCCAGTATAACCTGCAAGGAAAAACTATTTTATTTTGGAACAATCAAAGCATTAAAATTTTAGCTCTGACATTTGTTTGAGCTCTGAGTTAGAGAATAACTTAAAAGCAAAGCAACCAAACAAGGCCCCAAATCCAACATCGAACCGAGAGAAGCCTCTGTCGTTAAAAGTGTGTGGTTGCAGGTTTGGACACCTCAGCTTGGAGGCACTCAGACAGAACTGGCATCAGGGAAACAATTGAGAGGAGGTTTAAAACTGTGGGGTCAAGAAGGGCTTAAAAAACAAAAAGCCATGAATCACTTGTTCTCTGTGACACGCCTCAGAGATCCAATGGTGGGGCTGGTGCTTCCCCACTCATTGTGCCGTCTGTATTCTCCGGGTGGCAAGAAGTACTGGCGCCCCCTGTAGTTGGGGTGTTCATGCAGCATCCAGTAGCCCTCCATGACATTGACAGAGGAGATGTCACGGGTGTGGAAACGCTCATGCAGGTCCGGGCAATCTTCATTTAGCTCCAGATTCTGGCCCGCAAAGTCAGATCGCTCGAAAATCTTCATCCTGTAGCTTCCATTGTACTATGAAAAAAATGAGAGGATAAAATATTTTTGAAAACTTTTATGTAAAACAGAAGAGTTTGAATAAAAAGAGGCTAAACGTAGTGCAAAATGAGCCTAAGCTTTTACCAGAAAACACACTCAAACAGGATACAGCGAGATTTAAAAACTCACAGGTGGCACCATACGGCAGGAGCGGATACAGTCATTGAAGCCAGCCCAGTGCTGGTAGTCGGGGTACTCTCCCTTGTGCAGCATGTACTGGTAGCCAGCATAATTGGACTTCTCATAGGCTACCCAGCAACCACTCTCAACTCTTATGGAGTTGCAGCGACTGAAGAAGTTTTGCATCTCGGGGCAGTCGCTGCTGCACTCATGGTGACGACCCTGGAAGTTCCTGTCTTCATAGAAAATAATCTGCATATGACAGATGGTCGGACATCACAGGATTGCCACGGAGCTATTTCAAACTCATGATGCTTATAGTCGCTTCACATCACGCAACTAAACAGAAATTTTTACAACTTTGAATAGGCTTTAAAGAACCAGCTCTTTATTTTAATCAAATTTAGAAGTTTTGAAAAGACCAGCAAGTGTATAAAATAATATTTATAATAGAAAAAACTGTTTAAGACTTTATTAATTACTGGTTATTGACTATTTAATAATCTTTTATAAGAGTACTCTTAAAGTAAAGTGCTACCCAAATTTGTTTCTACTTTTATTTTACATGTTCATTTCTATTTATTAAAACTTAAATTTGCATAAATGTATTATATCCATGCAAATGCGATAACTACCGACCCATATCTTTTTTAGTCAGCTATCCGAGTAGACCTTTTGTGTAATCAGAACCACTCAAGTTATTGATTCATCATGTAAATCTGCTTTATCATACACCAAATATCTGTATAGATAATAAAACTCAAGCTTACCTTCCCCATTGTACCTGTGTTAAGTTCGGACCAGACCACATGCAGGCCCGTGCCAGGCCTCTTTATAGATCCTGCTGGGATCAGGGCTTTGTGAAGACAAAACAAAGCTTTGTCGTGTCAGCAGAGTGCACTCTATAGAGGGCGAAACACTATAGGGCTGGTGAGCTGCAGCGGCCGCTTTGTCTCCGTCAAAGCTCAGTGTCTGTGGAAAACACTGCACAACTGCACTTTCTCAGAGGCCTTCAATAAGAGTTGCAACATCTGCCTTAATTGGCATAAATGCCAGGAACTCGCAGGCCGACTATGAAGACACGAGACAGCTGGTTTTTGTTTTGTTTAGCTTTTTTAAAGACGTAAACATGTCAATGTACCTCTGCATATTTCATGGAATAACTTCCAAAGAAGCACACAACACACAATGTTTTTAAAGTGACATGTTTAATGTTCATTTGAGGTGTGATGAGTTTACATGGAAGTCCTCATCCTCCTGAAAGAGCCCACCATAGGGCTGTGGCAGCCCCAGTCTCCGTAAGCCCGATACTCTCCGGGGCGCAGGAAATACTGGCGCCCCCTGTAGTTGGGGTGCTCGTAGAAAATCCAGTAGCCCTCCAGGATGTTGCAGGAGTAAATGTCACGGTAATGGAAACGATCGTACACGTTGGGGCAGTCGTCCGTGAATTCCATCATGTGTCCCATCATGTTGGGCCTGTTGTACACCCTCATCCTGTAGGAGCCCCTGTACTGCAGGTGGAAGAAATCACAACGTGATTATTATGCTGTTTCAGTAGGTGGGAGCCCTGGAGACGACTTTTGCCAGAGCTTTCTTTACTGAGCTGATTTAACTCGCGCCGCTTGGCATCTTTTACTAACTACCAATGAGAATGAGCAAGAACTCTTTAGCAGGATGACACAGATTTTTTTTAACTGCCAAAAACACTCAGAGTGACAAACAGAATTAGAGTAAAGGCACCAAATCTTTTGGGGGGAAAAGGGGGGCATGTCATAATCAATTTAACAAACGACTGGGTCTCCTTCTGGGCCTTGAAGCCGAGACTTTTATGATGTGACCTGTGTGAGTATCTGCAAGCAAAAACCTAATGATTGACATCTATTTCTAAAGCAGCGTTTGATGTGGAAGGTGAATAGAGGTAAGGGGTGGTGGTGGGGGGGCTACCAGTCCTTTCTGTCAATTTGATTGACTTACAGGAGGGAACATTTGGCACGAGCGGATGCAGTTGTTGAAGCCCATCCAGTGGTGGAAGTCGGGGTACTCGCCGGGGCCAAGGATGTACTGATAGCCCATGTAGTGAGGCTTCTCGTAGGCCACCCAGTGACCGCCGCTGACACGGATGGAGTTGCAGCAGTTGAAGTGCCTGAAGGTGTCCATGCAGTCACTGCTGCACTCCCAGTGGCGGCCCTGGAAGTTGGAGCCCTCATAGAAGATGATCTTAAAAAAAAGAGGGGGAAGAGAGGAGCTGGGTTTTATTTAAAGAAATTATGTTATACGTAAAATTCAAAGTGTTACACATATGAGTTAGCTCGTACCTTTCCCATGGTTGCAGGCCTGTGGATGTTTGCGCACCGTAGCCGCAGACACACTTGCAGGTGCTTTTATACTCTCCTGCTGGTGATGAGGCCTCTCGCACGTCAGGGACCACTACTCTTTACCTTTTCATATGCCGTCCACTGTTTCCTTTGTCTTCTGGCTCATGGTTAACTCATCTCCTCTCTGCTAGAGTTTACCTATAGAATTGGCACACCCCCACCAAAAAAAAAAATGAACAGCACACAACTGCTTTTCTGTGTTTGCATGACCCTTGTTCCATGACCTTGTGATTCTGGCTTTTGAAATGTCACACAAAGGCCCTTTTGGGTATGTGGCCTCCCTGAAACAAAGAGCTTGAAGTTAACAGTCGCTCAGATCATATTGGGGACCCACTAACTAAACTAGTACTTAACCAACTGGTGGTTTTCACTTTATATTGGTATTGGTTGCTCTTTGCTTAAAGAGATAGTTTAAACATTTTGAAGAGACCTTCTGTGAAGAGGTTATACATTTTTTCTTCGGAGAAGCTTTCTTTAAAAACACAATGGGCCTCATGCAAGAACCGTTCATACACACAGATTTGTTCTTAAGTTGTGCGTACGAGTGATTTAGGAGAATTTGTGGCATTCACCAGTTTTTTCGTATTCTAAGATTTTCTTCAGATACGAACAAAATTCACGAGTGGTCCAGACCTGTTGAATCTTTTAAGAGCAGTCAGTCTGYTGTTATCCAGATGGATTTTCTTCATTAATAACTTTATATTTCATTAGTTTGAAGATATTTTGAGATGAAAATAAATCACACTCTATAATTATGTTGACAAGAGGCTATTCTGTTTGAATTAGAATTAGAATTTTAAATGTAAAAATGTAGACTAATGACATAAATTGGTTAAATTAAAATAAATTGGCTATTAATTTTTTCCTATAGCACTACAATGTTAATATGACGTTAATTGAAGTTTTGAGACATTTTAAAATGCTTTTTTTCAGAGACACATCTGACACTTGCGATGGTGTGGGGTGGGGGTTGCAGTGTGTGACTGCTCCTCTGAATAAGTGAAACCTATGTAACACAGTTGTTTACACTGAAATAAAAAGTATTTGACCAAAGAAAAACCGGTGCTGGACTGCAGAGAGAGATAAATATGATTTAGATTTTTATTTCTGTGACGACCCACGGGAGACACGACATTAACAGCAGTTGTCATTTCATTTCCTCGGCTTTAAAGCAGATCCTTTAATTCCACAGCTGACGCTGCTAAAAATGACATTTATTTTTTATTTTTGTAGATCTCCGAGAGCAGAACTTCAATCTCCGAACTCGTAAAGTTCTTTTTTTACGTTGCGATGTCACATGAATGGACACTTATGTGTGGCAGGAAACGTATATCTTTATATGGTGTTTTAGGGGTGGTAATTATGTAAATCACCCCTCCCCGTGCACGAGCACCTGATACGCATTCATCAGTTTACGCTCCTCATTTACACACTTTTCCTGAAGATAGAAGAGTTTGTTGAATCTGACGTGGCATGTTCGTACGAACCCTTTGTAAAAACAAAAGTAAGAGAAATTAAGGATAACAATACGAGCATGTTCTTGCCTGCAGCCCATTGTCTTACAATCTCAGGTTAGACATATTCTGCTGCTTGGAGTTGTCTCATCCCTGGGATTTTCTGCTTGACATTTGTAATAAACTGATAAAAATCAACAAGCTTGGTCTCTCCTGTTTTCCTTAGCCTTTCTGCCGAGACGAGCAAGATAATAATGGTTCCTAACCCCTTTTTACAGAACCCCACTTCAAAAGCGCTAAACCAGGGTGCCCAAACTTTTTCACCAGAAGTGGGCCAAATTAAAAATCTATCTAAAAGCTGTGGGCCGATTGCAGTAGTATAATACCTGAAATGCAAATACTTTTTAAGTAAAGTCCTTTTATTTGCTTTATGATTAAGCTAGCAGCCAGTGCAGTGGCCCTTTGTTTTTATTTATTTTTTTTGTTTGTATAGCTCGTGCACTTGGAAAAAGTTTGACATATGCTCAGGCAGTAAAGGCTCATGGGTAACTTCATAAATTGATAAAATATGAGTATTTATGATTTTATAAAGCGTGAAAACCTAATCTAAATGTCTCTTGTAAGTTAATTGTATTTCATGTTTAATATTAATATAATTCAAAGATAAAGTCAGCACTATAAGTGTAAAACTATCTGCACTACAACCTGTTATAAAGTCACTGGGCCAATGGATGGAAATATAGTGTTTCCACACACAAAGACAGGAGTAATAACCTAGTAACCAGTGCAACTGCTGGCAGGCCAAATCAACTGACTTGGCCCACGGGCCCAAACTTTGGGCACCTCCGCTCTAAACTATCACTTTAAGTCTTATAAACAAAAGTTTAACTGTTGCTGAATCAGTTCCTGTTACAGGAAAGCAATGATGAAACTTTGGACTGAGCTCAGTTTTGTGATGAAACAGTTGGTTCTCTCTGGTTGCTTTCAGCCTGCAGTTGTACTGTGATGCCAGGTGGGACTGGTCAGTTTGCAACATGCACAGACAGAATGTTAGTGTGTGAAATGTAAAAGGAGAGTTTGGGGACATCAACCTGTGTTTTTGAGTCTTTACATAAAATCACATGTTTGGGTTTGAGGTCTTTCCCTTGTAAGTATTGCCCTGAGCTGAGGGGGAGAAATAGCCAGAAATTGTTGCCATGTTTTGTGCTTCCAAAGCCCAGCTGGTGCCAGAAAGGTCAATGCCACGCTTTAGCCTTTCATCACGATAAAAACCGTACATCCACTCTACAGCGTGAATGCCTTTCATAGCTTTAGCTCCATAAAAAGGCTAATGTTTACCAAAAACCATAATAGCCTTTACGTTTTCAGGGCAAAAAAAATCACACTGCCAGCGTCTAAATCCGTACAATATTGTTTCACTGTTAAGAAACGTTGATGATAAGCTTTTGCTCCTTTGATCAACGATCGACTTGAAAACTCCGTTCGGCTTCACAGGGTTTCGTGTTTGAAGTGCCGCTCTTTTTCTGTGACATAAGTAGTTCATTGATATGCTTTCATCATGCCGTGCAATATAATTGTAGGGGATTATCAGAAGGGGTGTTTGTTTTGTTTTGTGAGTTTCTGGAGCAAGTGTTTACTTTGGGAGGAAATGTTTTATCAGAACGTATTATAAACAAATGTTTACATTTTTCATATGCTTATAAATTAAAGATTCTTTTTTTTCTGGATCACTTTTATTGAAGGTGAATTTACACTCGCAGCAGAGCAACACGACGACAGAGAAATTTTATTTGGTCCGTTCAGGCTCTAGTTCTTACCGTAGCAAGGAGCCCGTAAACCACAGGATGGATTTTAAAGGGATCCCTGATTAGTTGTAACATTAGACTTTATTTAATAAACATTTATTTTAACTGTAAAATAAAGACTGTAAAAAACTGTAGGCTGTTTAGTTTTGTAAATTTTTTA